GTAGGCGTGGTAGTTGTTGTAGGTGTGGTAGTTGTTGTAGGTGTGGTAGTTGTTGTAGGCGTGGTAGTTGTTGTAGGTGTGGTAGTTGTTGTAGGTGTGGTAGTTGTTGTAAGTTTTGTAGTTGTTGTAGAACTAGTAGTTGTTGTAGGTGTGGTAGTTGTTGTTAGTAATGTAGCTGTTGAAGGTTTGGTAGTTGTTGTAGGTGTGGTATTTGTTGTAGGTGTGGTTGTTGTTGTAGGCGTGTTAGTTGTAGTAGGCGTGGTAGTTGTTGTGGGTGTGGTAGTTGTTGTAGGTGTGGTAGTTGTTGTAGGTGTGGTTGTTGTTTTAGGCGTGTTAGTTGTAGTAGTCGTGGTAGTTGTTGTAGGTGTGGTAGTTGTTGTAGGCGTGGTAGTTGTTGTAGGCGTGGTAGTTGTTGTAGGTGTGGTAGTTGTTGTAGGCGTGGTAGTTGTTGTAGGTGTGGTAGTTGTTGTAGGCGTGGTAGTTGTTGTAGGTGTGGTAGTTGTTGTAGACGTAGTAGTTGTTGTAGGTTTGGTAGTTGTTGTTAGTAATGTAGCTGTTGAAGGTTTGATAGTTGTTGTAGGTGTGGTAGTTGTTGTAGGTGTGGTTGTTGTTGTGGGTGTGGTAGTTGTAGTAGGCGTGGTAGTTGTAGTAGGCGTGGTAGTTGTTGTGGGTGTGGTAGTTGTAGTAGGCGTGGTAGTTGTTGTAGGTGTGGTAGTTGTATTAGGCGTGGTACTTGTTGTGGGTGTGGTAGTTGTAGTAGGCGTGGTAGTTGTTGCGGGTGTGGTAGTTGTAGTAGGCATGGTAGTTGTAGTAGGTGTTTAGTTGTTGTAGGCGTGTTAGTTGTTGTAGGCGTGGTAGTTGTTGAGGGTGTTGTAGTTGTTGTAGGTGTGGTAGTTGTTGTAGGTGTGGTAGTTGTTGTTAGTAATGTAGCTGTTGAAGGTTTGGTAGTTGTTGTAGGTGTGGTAGTTGTTGTAGGTGTGGTTGTTGTTGTAGGCGTGTTAGTTGTAGTAGGCGTGGTAGTTGTTGTGGGTGTGGTAGTTGTTGTAGGCGTGGTAGTTGTAGTAGGCTTGGTAGTTGTAGAAGGTGTAGTAGTTGTTGTAGGTGTGGTAGTTGTTGTAGGTGTGGTAGTTGTTGTTAGTAATGTAGCTGTTGAAGGTTTGGTAGTTGTTGTAGGTGTGGTAGTTGTTGTAGGTGTGGTTGTTGTTGTAGGCGTGGTAGTTGTAGTAGGCGTGGTAGTTGTTGTAGGTGTGGTAGTTGTTGTAGGTGTGGTAGTTGTTGTAGGCGTAGTTGTTGTATTAGGCGTGGTAGTTGTTTTGGGTGTGGTAGTTGTAGTAGGCGTGGTAGTTGTTGTAGGTGTGGTAGTTGTTGTAGGCGTGGTAATTGTTGTAGGTGTGGTAGTTGTTGTAGGCGTGGTAGTTGTTGTAGGTGTGGTAGTTGTTGTAGGCGTGGTAGTTGTTGTAGGTGTGGTAGTTGTTGTAGGTGTGGTAGTTGTTGTAGGCGTGGTAGTTGTTGTAGGTGTGGTAGTTGTTGTAGGTGTGGTAGTTGTTGTAAGTTTTGTAGTTGTTGTAGAACTAGTAGTTGTTGTAGGTGTGGTAGTTGTTGTTAGTAATGTAGCTGTTGAAGGTTTGGTAGTTGTTGTAGGTGTGGTATTTGTTGTAGGTGTGGTTGTTGTTGTAGGCGTGTTAGTTGTAGTAGGCGTGGTAGTTGTTGTGGGTGTGGTAGTTGTTGTAGGTGTGGTAGTTGTTGTAGGTGTGGTTGTTGTTTTAGGCGTGTTAGTTGTAGTAGTCGTGGTAGTTGTTGTTGGTGTGGTAGTTGTTGTAGGCGTGGTAGTTGTTGTAGGCGTGGTAGTTGTTGTTGGTGTGGTAGTTGTTGTAGGTGTGGTAGTTGTAGTAGTCGTGGTAGTTGTTGTAGGTGTGGTAGTTGTTGTAGGCGTGGTAGTTGTAGTAGGCGTGGTAGTTGTAGAAGGTGTGGTAGTTGTTGTAGGTGTGGTAGTTGTTGTAGGTGTTGTAGTTGTTGTAGGCGTGGTTGTTGTATTAGGCGTGGTAGTTGTTGTGGGTGTGGTAGTTGTAGTAGGCGTGGTAGTTGTTGTAGGTGTGGTAGTTGTTGTAGGCGTGGTAGTTGTTGTAGAACTAGTTGTTTTTGTAGGTGTGGTAGTTGTTGTAGACGTAGTAGTTGTTGTAGGTTTGGTAGTTGTTGTAGGTGTTGTAGTTGTTGTAGACGTAGTAGTTGTTGTAGGTGTGGTAGTTGTTGTTAGTAATGTAGCTGTTGAAGGTGTGGTAGTTGTTGTGGGTGTGGTAGTTGTAGAAGGTGTGGTAGTTGTTGTAGGTGTGGTAGTTGTTGTAGGCCTGGTTGTTGTATTAGGCGTGGTAGTTAATGTGGGTGTAGTAGTTGTAGTAGGCGTGGTAGTTTTTGTAGGTGTGGTAGTTGTTGTAGGCGTGGTAGTTTTTGTAGGCGTGGTAGTTGTTGTGGGTGTTTTAGTTGTTGTAGGTTTGGTAGTTGTTGTAGGTTTTGTAGTTGTTGTAGACCTAGTAGTTGTTGTAGGTGTGGTAGTTGTTGTAGACGTAGTAGTTGTTGTTGGTAATGTAGCTGTTGAAGGTTTGGTAGTTGTTGTAGGTGTGGTAGTTGTTGTGGGTGTGGTAGTTAATGTAGTCGTGGTAGGTGTAGTAGGAGTGGTAGTTGTAGTAGGCGTGGTAGTTGTGGGTGTGGTAGTTGTTGTAGGTGTGGTAGTTGTTGTAGGTGTGGTAGTTGTTGTAGGTGTGGTAGTTGTAGTAGGCGTGGTAGTTGTTGTGGGTGTTGTAGTTGTTGTAGGTGTGGTAGTTGTTGTTAGTAATGTAGCTGTTGAAGGTGTGGTAGTTGTTGTAGGTGTGGTAGTTGTTGTAGGTGTGGTAGTTGTTGTAGGTGTGGTAGTTGTAGTAGGCGTGGTAGTTGTTGTGGGTGTTGTAGTTGTTGTAGGTGTGGTAGTTGTTGTTAGTAATGTAGCTGTTGAAGGTGTGGTAGTTATTGTGGATGTGGTAGTTGTTGTAGGTGTGGTAGTTGTTGTAGGTGTGGTAGTTGTTGTAGGCGTAGTTGTTGTATTAGGCGTGGTAGTTGTTTTGGGTGTGGTAGTTGTAGTAGGCGTGGTAGTTGTTGTAGGTGTGGTAGTTGTTGTAGGCGTGGTAGTTATTGTAGGTGTGGTAGTTGTTGTAGGCGTGGTAGTTGTTGTAGGTGTGGTAGTTGTTGTAGGTGTGGTAGTTGTTGTAGGCGTGGTAGTTGTTGTAGGTGTGGTAGTTGTTGTAGGTGTGGTAGTTGTTGTAAGTTTTGTAGTTGTTGTAGAACTAGTAGTTGTTGTAGGTGTGGTAGTTGTTGTTAGTAATGTAGCTGTTGAAGGTTTGGTAGTTGTTGTAGGTGTGGTATTTGTTGTAGGTGTGGTTGTTGTTGTAGGCGTGTTAGTTGTAGTAGGCGTGGTAGTTGTTGTGGGTGTGGTAGTTGTTGTAGGTGTGGTAGTTGTTGTAGGTGTGGTTGTTGTTTTAGGCGTGTTAGTTGTAGTAGTCGTGGTAGTTGTTGTAGGTGTGGTAGTTGTTGTAGGCGTGGTAGTTGTTGTAGGCGTGGTAGTTGTTGTAGGTGTGGTAGTTGTTGTAGGCGTGGTAGTTGTTGTAGGTGTGGTAGTTGTTGTAGGCGTGGTAGTTGTTGTAGGTGTGGTAGTTGTAGTAGTCGTGGTAGTAGTTGTAGGTGTGGTAGTTGTTGTAGGCGTGGTAGTTGTAGTAGGCGTGGTAGTTGTAGAAGGTGTGGTAGTTGTTGTAGGTGTGGTAGTTGTTGTAGGTGTGGTAGTTGTTGTAGGCGTGGTTGTTGTATTAGGCGTATTAGTTGTTGTGGGTGTGGTAGTTGTAGTAGGCGTGGTAGTTGTTGTAGGTGTGGTAGTTGTTGTAGGCGTGGTAGTTGTTGTAGAACTAGTAGTTGTTGTAGGTGTGGTAGTTGTTGTAGACGTAGTAGTTGTTGTAGGTTTGGTAGTTGTTGTAGGTGTTGTAGTTGTTGTAGACGTAGTAGTTGTTGTAGGTGTGGTAGTTGTTGTTAGTAATGTAGCTGTTGAAGGTGTGGTAGTTGTTGTGGGTGTGGTAGTTGTAGAAGGTGTGGTAGTTGTTGTAGGTGTGGTAGTTGTTGTAGGCCTGGTTGTTGTATTAGGCGTGGTAGTTAATGTGGGTGTAGTAGTTGTAGTAGGCGTGGTAGTTTTTGTAGGTGTGGTAGTTGTTGTAGGCGTGGTAGTTTTTGTAGGCGTGGTAGTTGTTGTGGGTGTTTTAGTTGTTGTAGGTTTGGTAGTTGTTGTAGGTTTTGTAGTTGTTGTAGACCTAGTAGTTGTTGTAGGTGTGGTAGTTGTTGTAGACGTAGTAGTTGTTGTTGGTAATGTAGCTGTAGAAGGTTTTGTAGTTGTTGTAGGTGTGGTAGTTGTTGTGGGTGTGGTAGTTAATGTAGTCGTGGTAGGTGTAGTAGGAGTGGTAGTTGTAGTAGGCGTGGTAGTTGTGGGTGTGGTAGTTGTTGTAGGTGTGGTAGTTGTTGTAGGTGTGGTAGTTGTTGTAGGTGTGGTAGTTGTAGTAGGCGTGGTAGTTGTTGTGGGTGTTGTAGTTGTTGTAGGTGTTGTAGTTGTTGTAGGTGTGGTAGTTGTTGTTAGTAATGTAGCTGTTGAAGGTGTGGTAGTTATTGTGGATGTGGTAGTTGTAGAAGGTGTTGTAGTAGTTGTAGGAGTGGTAGTTGTTGTGGGTGTTGTAGTTGTTGTAGACGTAGTAGTTGTTGTAGGTGTGGTAGTTGTTGTTAGTAATGTAGCTGTTGAAGGTGTGGTAGTTATTGTGGATGTGGTAGTTGTAGAAGGTGTGGTAGTTGTTGTAGGAGTGGTAGTTGTTGTAGGCGTGGGTGTTGTATTAGGCGTGGTAGTTGTTGTGGGTGTTTTAGTTGTTGTAGGTTTGGTAGTTGTTGTAGGTTTTGTAGTTGTTGTAGGTGTGCTAGTTGTTGTGGGTGTGGTAGTTAATGTAGTCGTGGTAGGTGTAGTAGGAGTGGTAGTTGTTGTAGTTGTGGTAGTTGTTGTAGGTATCGTCGTTTTCACAGGTGTTGTAATTGTTGTGTCTGCTATATTATTTTTAGGACTAGGGTTATTAACAGATTCAATGTTGTTTTCTGATTTTGAATATAACTCTGTGTTACTATTTATAACATAATTTGTTTGCTTTGTTATTACATTTTGTGTAGTTATGGTAGCTGCTGTAACGATGGTTACTGTCATCGTATTTCCATAAAAGTTTAATAATTGTGTTAACAACATGTATTTAAGTAAATTCATTTTGAAAACCCTCTGGAGACTTTCATTGATTCCAATTCTGAAAAATGAATGTTTTGATGAGACTTTTCTCCTGAGCATGCTGTCTTCTACTACCAAAATATAATATTTATTGCTCTACTAATAAAACTTTGATTGGTTTAGAAATCTTATATTTCATTATTCTGTTTTTTTTAAATATTTTTTTTAAAGATTGGATTGAAATTTTATTTATTATCACATCAACAATGAAACCGCCATAAGGTATGTTTAAATATCTTATTTTCAGTAAATTAACAATTAATAAAAAGATACCCTGTTTGGAAACTGTAAACATTATTAAGTGGAAACAACAATTCTGGTGGGTAGATATCACTCGTATGGGGTAATTGTATAGTTAACTAATTACTCATTAAATTTTAAGCAGATACATTTTTGTCGCTTGGGTCTTGCCTAATTAGAACGAATGGAATGGAAAGACTAGATTTTAAATTTAATGTCTTAGGTTATTTTTTCACTTACTTTTATTGTAAAATTTTCAAAGTCCAGCTTTTGCTTAATATCCAAATGTCGAGGTCATTTCAACAAAAATATAAAATCCGTTTTATTTTTGTATTTTATTTTTCTACACATCTGACGCTTAGTGCTTGTTGTAAACTTGCTGGTAATAGTTTTGTACTCTGGCAACCTTGTGTTTTTAGCAGAAGATAAAAGTGACTCGTGAATGTTGAGAACACGCTAAGAGTTTAAGTTCAGCCAATACACGCAACATTATATATTTCCACAAAAACTACCTGGTAACACCAAGATGTCCTGTGTGTGAGTGCATTAGTCTGGTTTTGAAAATCAGTTTTATTTTATCTCTGCCACAAGACCTTTTAAACTCTAGTCGGTCAAAAGAATATAAAACATGAAAGCTTTGTATAAGTAATGGTGTCTCGTGTTATGTTTATTTTATGTTTTTTTAAATTTATATTATCAATTTTAAATACATTTCCTTTTTATACAATGTTATTCTTTGGTAAGTACTTTAAAAAAAATTAGTAATTAAGAGAAATAATTGCTTTTTAATTTGTTTAGTACAAATTTATTAAAACGAGCTTATGAACACCCCTATTCGACTATTTAAAAAAGGGAAATAAGTTATGGAAGTGGTTTGAATGTTTGCCTGTCTTTCACACTACTGCTCATGTGTATATTTTTTTTACGCAACAGCATGTCTTAGCTACTGTATAGCATCATTACTGTAGTAGATCTGTTAGTTATTTACAAAACCACTATCAATGTGCCAGTGGCGTAACTATAAAAATAAAGCCCCCCCCCCTTCTCGGCGGAGGTCCCTAATGCAGCGAGACTGATGATTTAAGTAGTACACCTATCCCCCTGTGCAGTACACACAATTAGCGGACCCCGGGTGCTAAGATAGCGCCTAGGGATCTCAGGATGCTCAACTACACATTTCCGTAGGAAGCCGTCACTCCAATGCTTTTAAACAAATATTAGGCCTATGACTAAAACCTTACTTAAACTTTTAATAATAGAATAGAATCTCGTAGAAAAAAGAATTGCACACCAAGTGAACGCCAAACAAAATGTGCAGAATAGTGCGGGATATTATTAGTACTTTATAAATTCAAATCCGTTTTTTGAGAAAACGGAAATGGCGTAAATTACTACTTCTGTTCAACGAAAATTACTCAGAATTTGATAGAAGGCAGCAAAATTATATATTTTACATATATGTGAAATTTCATTTATCTATCTGAAATAGTACTCAAGTTATAGGCTTTTGAAAAATTGAAAGTAGAAAAAGTTCCACTTCCGGTTATCGGGAATCGCTAAAAGGTTGATACGGATCTACGATTTTATATAATACTTATATATGAAATTTCATCAACCTAGCTGTAACAGTAATCTAGTTATCGTGTTTACAGACACACATACATACACACACATTCATACACACACATACATCCAATATTGCAAAATAACGTTTTTCCGACTGTGGGAGGTGTAAAATTTCGAGATTTGTAAAAATCTCGATTTTTTTTTTTTTGCACGATTGCAATACGTTCTCTATACTCTGTTTATACGAGAAAGTAAAAAATACGACTACACGACAACCCCATATAGGCACGTGCCATATGTTTGAACATGGTAAAGTGTAACATGACATTACATTGAAGCCGTTTAAAAACAAGCACTTTAATCTTTTTCTAGTTAGCTGATTTACGTTTATAATTGAAAATGGTTTTGAATTTAGGAGTTTAAGCGCTCATGGTAGTTGATGTGTTTGTTGTAGGTGGTATTGTATTTGTTGTACTTAATGATGTACAAGTAGTAGGTGTGCTTGTTAGGCGATGGTGTGCTTGTGTTAGGTGATGGTGTTTTAGTTTTAGATTATAGTGTTGGCGTCGTAAGTAGTGTTGGCGTCATGGTAGTTGTTGTCCTCGTGATAGGTGCTGTTGTACTTGTGGTGTCTGAAGATGTGCTCGTGGTAGCTGATGGTGATGGTGTTATCGTAGTAGGTGATGTTATGCTGATGGTTGCTGATGTTGTGCTGATGGTTGCTGATGTTGTGTTGGTGGTTGGTGATGTTGTGTTGGTCGTAGGTAATTGTGTGCTCAAGGTAGGTGATGGTGTAGTAGTGGTAGGTGATTTAGTGCTAGTTACAGAAGCTGGTTTGCCATTGGTTGGTGATGCAGTGTTGGTGAAAGGTGTTGGTGCGCTTGTCTTAGATGATGGTTGGTAAAGGTATATAGGTGCTTGGTGTTTCGGTGTTGAATTGAGGAGTTTAAGCGCTCAATGTAGGTAATTATGTTCTTATGGTTGGTGATGTTGCGCTGATTGTAGGTGATTGTGTGCTTGTAGTAGGTTTCGCACCCTGACTAATTGTGTTAATCTGAGTGTATTTTAATGTTAAATTGCTTTCAATTAACGTGGTGTTTGTGGTAGTATCTATTGGAGCTGCTATCATTGTTCTGTAGAGCTTTAATATTTGTATCAAGAAGATGTAATTAAGCACTTTCATGTTTACAACGTTTTCTTAGAAAGCTTACTGGAACTTTGTGCCAAAAAAATGTAATTATGATTATATTTTCTAACGTCAGCACCACTGCTGTTTTTACAACCACGGAAAGAGATTTGTTCTTATACCACAAGTTGGGCTTGTTTTCAAATCGTGTAAATATTCTGTTTTATTGCATCGGCCGCTTCTATCCGACCAATTTCTTTGAAACTTGGCGTGTGGTTCAAGAACCGATGACAATACATTATGACATCAAATTTTGCATTAACTTGATGACTAATGGTTCTATGAATTAAATAAATTTTCCTAAATAAAGTACTTTTTTCGGCGCTATTTCACTCACATTGTTTGTGTTTGGTGGTTTATGATTATTTTTAGCCATGTTATTCGATTGCATTAGACTTGAAATATAAAGAAAATAATAAAAAAAAAACACGTTTTAATGACAAGATTTTAAATAAAATAGAAAATAAATAAATTTCCTGAAATATATAATAATACACCAATATTTACAAAATTTAAAGAAGCAGCTTGTGTCACTATATTATTCATTACATACCCATAAATATTTATGGAAAATTATTTATTGTTTACTTGTTAATGCATTTTATATACAAACTTGTAATTAAAACCTTTTAATTAATATTTTTTATGTTGTGGTATACGGAATAATTATGTAAATTTAACGTTTTGCACCTTCCTTTGTCACATGTGATAAAAATGTGCACTGCGGAGTCATTGTGTAAGGAGAGTCTTCGATTTAGCTGGAAGTGCTTTGTTAGCATCGCTAGTAGTAGGTTCATGATCTAATTAGAATTAATTATTGATGTTTTTAGTTCATCTTTTATTGAGACATAACAGATCAATTAGTCACTTGATATAACTGTAAAACATACACAATCGAAACTTACGAAGTCTATGTAGATGAGATGGTTTTGCTCCTAAATCCAAAGTTCTACAAGTATATTGTTTTGCTCTGTTGATCCCGATGTTACTCATGAATTTCGCGATTATCAAAAAAATCTGAATATCCAGAATATTCCAGATTGCACCATTCAGTCACAATAAACCAATAAAAACTCATAAGATTAGCACAAACACTTTGTTTAGGTAGATGAACATGAAAATCAACTTGAGAAAAAATAAAGTAGAGTCCCCAATCGTTTCGGTACAAAAATGTGAACCAGTGGTACAATCTTTTTATCATGTCTTAAAACAACACGTTGATAACAAGCTCGGTGTATGTAGAAATTCTTAGGTCACATATACGGTTACACGGGTGGGTGCGATAAGACAAAAGTTCAGTAGCTGGTTACATGCGGTTGGTTTGTCTTGTATCTTGCTGTGTCGTTACAGGCTGGGACTTTAAACGCTGTGGTATGTGGTGATTGATAATCAGATCAATGCATGTATCACAAACTTGTGAAGATGCATTTATAGATAAAGATACGCTTCAAGTAATCCGAGGTGTAGGGGGTTCGTAGTTTGGTGTGGAGGGGGGAGCTGGAGGGAGGTTAGTCGCACAAAGACATTTCAAGAAATTTCAACTACTCCAAACAAATAATTTAGTCGACATCGCTTCATGTAGAAGCCACTGGGAAAATGTGCTTGTGGGATGGTGAGCGTGTTTGGTGAGGTGTGTTGTGAGGTGTGTGGTGAGGTGTTTGGTGATGTATTTTAGGATGCCGCTTCTAGTTAAACGTTTGGTGGGGTATTTTAGGATGCCGCTTCTAGTTCAACGTTTGGTGAGGTATTTTAGGATGCCGCTTCTAGTTAAACGTTTGGTGGGGTATTTTAGGATGCCGCTTCTAGTTCAACGTTTGGTGAGGTATTTTAGGATGCCGCTTCTAGTTAAACGTTTGATGGAATATTTTAGTATCCCCCCCCCTCTCTCTCTCTCTCTCTCTCTCTCATATATATATATATATATATATATATATATATATATATATATATATATATATATATATATATATATATATATATATATATATATATGTGTGTGTGTGTGAATATAATGAAAAACATTCAAGAACAATTTTCTCATTTGACCAAATTAACATTCGAGTTTAATATTCAACAAACAATAAGCCAGACCTTGATGTTTGATTCCATTTATTTACAGATCAGGTATATGGACCAGCCAGTGATCGATAGAACATAAAGGACAACATTGGTAGACGAGTAATAAATAGTGCTCACGTTGCAAGTCTGAAAAATTTTATACGTTGATGCATTTATACGTTATCACATAATAAAGCGTGTGGGATAACAGAAGATTAAGATGTCAAAAAATAAATAATATATATAATATAAAAATATAAGTCTAGAGTACAATTGTTATGCAAGCCGTGTACCAATAATTTGTCGTTAACTAAATTTATAACACAGGTTTCCAAATAACGTGGTATATGTCTCTGGGGTGTTGCTTCTACCTGGGTCGTATAACCTCCCTGGGTCGTACACCTGCCTGGGTCGTACACCTCCCTGGGTCGTACACCTGCCTGGGTCGTACACCTCCCTGGGTCGTACACCTGCCTGGGTCGTACACCTCCGTGGGTCGTACACCTCTCCGAGTCGTACACCTCTCTGTGCCGTACACCTCCCTGGGTCGTACACCTCATTGGGTCGTACACCCCCCTGGGGTGGTACAATGATTATGAAACTAGACCTTCCTATCTAGAAACATGAAGTTGGTGGAGATCTTCAGAGTGAAGGCTCTTTGATAGTGACAAATGTTTGGATACCAAATTTTTCACAATTTGTGAGTTTATACGTGTTATACATCCAATATGTTGCTTACAATGACATTTTTATGTTTAAACATGATTTTCGCTTATATACATACATATTAAGTCTTATACACTTATTGAAGACATTTTTTATACAGGAGTATGCATTTTAAAAGTCTGGTTATTTTGTGACTTGCATTCAAAATTTGCTTTCACGCTTTATTTAAACACGAACTCAAAGAAAAAATTTTGGATCAGTCTCACATGTTTTTGAACACACATATTATTATCCACTGTTATTGTGTGCTCACTTTCTCTTTACGTGTGTCGTTTATTCCTTGTCTCTGACGTCATTTGTCGTCTTCGTCGCTCCACGAGGAATGTTGCGGCCATTTTGCTTTGGAATTGTAGGCCGTTGGCGTCGATTTGGTGGGGAAGACAGGAATATCCTGGGGCGTGGCTTGTTGGCCGATGTGGTCGTCACGTGGTTCGACCGAGACCTTGAATGGGGGGATTCTGAACTGGTCGTCTGCGGTGTTGTCGTAGTGACCCCTGCCCAGGTAGGTGGAGCCCTGGTAGGGTGAGTAGAGACTCCCGCCCGTGGGGTACACGGCCAGTTGCTCGGAGGAGGACATTTCATACAGCTCGTCTTTTCTGAGATCAGAGGACAATTTTAGGACAATTTTAGGATAAATTTTTGAGAATCTTAGGAGAATTTTACGATAATTTTAAGGAGAATTTTAAGAACAGCTTTAGGACAATTTTAAAGACATGAGTATGATAGGCTGCGTGTTTGTGATAACATTCTGATTGTATTTCTTTAAGCCTAACAAGGGAGATAAACAAATCAATGATTTAAAAAAAAAATCACCTCAGATTTTAACTAAAACATTAAAAGAATAAGAAATAAAAGGGCATCAAAATTGAGATTTTGAAAATTAAAATAAACTAAAACAAAATAAAAAGATCAAATTGTAAAGCAAAAAAATTAAATAATGAATTCATTAAAAAAAATAAAAATATCAATAATAAATAAGAATGTCTTAAATAAAATTTGGGAGTCATAAAATAAAAGGTCAATTGTTCAAAATTATTTTTAAACTACAAAAAAATATTTGTACAACTAAAGATAACGCAAAAATAAAAAGAAAATGACAAGATTTCAAAATGATGTAACGTTTAATTTCTACCTGTGTCGTCTGCGGTGCATGATGCAGACGGTGAGAATGACGGCTATGATAATGACAGCGCCACCTAGGCAGACGGCCAGGGCGATGATCTCACTGGAGCCGAGGGCCAGTTTCTCACCAACTTGAGTGCAGTTGGCGCCTCCATACACGAACTTGTCGTCTGCGTTACATCTGCTCAAAGTAAGGGACATAATCTCATAACATAGCTCAAATTAAGGGACATAATCTCGTTACATAGCGCAAACAAAGGGACATAATCCAATTTTATATGCTACTTGTGATTGATTGATTGATAAAGTTAATTTTAATTTTAACCAGTAGAAAATGAAGAAATGACAAGTTTAATGTTGCCAGGAAGAGCTGGTAGGATAGAACCTGACCTGGTTGCATTCATCAACTTAAACTGTTAGAGGATAGAAGCTGCACCTAGCGTTGTTCAACTCATCAACATATCACGTGACCTGGGTTAACTGACCTGCACTTGGGGTTGTTCAACTCATCAACATATCACGTGACCTGGGTTAACTGACCTGCACTTGGGGTTGTTCAACTCATCAACATATCACGTGACCTGGGTTAACTGACCTGCACTTGGGGTTGTTCAACTCATCAACATATCACGTGACCTGGGTTAACTGACCTGCACTTGGGGTTGTTCCCCTCATCCAGATAGCAGGTAGCCTGAGGCGGACACACGTGCAGTGAGCACTTTTCCCGACACTGTCCTCTGTTGACGTCACACACGTAGTTGGCTGGGCAGATGCTGTCTGCCATACAGGGGTCACTGGCCACCAGAGCTAGGGTCTGACCAGCTGTCATTAGATGACATATGACATGTACTGACAAGTGATATTGGTTATAAGTGTTGCTATTTATAATTGTATTATTTTAAACTTAACGTATTTATAACAAAAGTTTTTTCAGCTTTTTAACCGTGGAACCGTTATTATATATTAGGTGTCATCCATAAATGACGTCACGCTTTTTTGGACGATGTTTACCTCCCCCCTCCGGTCCGTCACACATGGTCACAAAAAGCCAGACCCCCCCCCCCCTAAAATGACGTCGTACCTCAGCCTACAACTCCCCTCAAAATTGCAGATGAATTTTTCTAAAAACATCGATATTTTTCCAAAATCTTGTCAGATCTCAGTCAGCATACAGTATTTTGATCAATTACTATTACAATTTATTAAAAACATTTTCTAAAACGCGAAATAACGGCTGAAATTTGTTTTCTAACATTGCTTTTTTATAATGCAAAAGTGTGACGTCACACCATCTGAACTCCCCCCCCCCTCCCTTCCCCCTCATCACACTGTCACAAAATTACGGACCCCCCTCCCTACTACGAGTGTGACGTCATTTATGGACGACCCCTTATGGCACATCCTTAATTAATGATCTTAAGTTACTGCATATCCTCAATGAAAGCAGGATCTAATGTTATTGACATCACAACCGCTACGCTATGACTTTAAACAAAAACCTTAAAAAGTAAAACTAGCTCTTGAGCTAAACCGTCGCACTGGATATAGCATAGGGACGCGAGGAGGGGGGGGGGAGGGACTGCGCCAAACCTCTGAACATGCATTTATTAAAATAATAAATTAAATATTTTTAAGTACTTTTTTCAACATAAACTCAAATCTGGATCGATTTTGATCAATATTTGAAAGACACGAGTTCGAGTTCACAAGCTGAAGTCAAGCAAACACTTTTAGTCTATATAATGTCTTCAGAGTCGTTTATTCTAAATCCTTAATTGTTGAAAAGATTCTCAATCCGTTAAATTATAATAGTTAAAATCGTGCAATCTATCAAGAGCAAGGACAGGGGAATTTATCAGAATAGTTTTCCCACCCCACCCCACCACACCCTACCCCTCTAAGTTGTCACAAGGTGCGACTTGGGTGCCATCTAGCGTACCTTTTTCAACGCTGCTGTTGTAGGTCAAGGCTAGGTAAGCCGTGTCCATGTCCGTGACTTTCTGCAGCGCTGGGTACAAGTCTACCAGTGCTTGTGTAACCTCCGTCGCGTTCAGCGGATTGGCGGACGTGTTGAAGACAAGCAGTGTGACGTTATATAGCACTATAACACTGCCGGGGCTGTAGAGAAAATATTTTATACATCACTACCTGGGCTGTAGACAAAATATTTTTATACATCACTACCTGGGCTGTAGATAAACATCTTTTTATACACCACTACAACACTACCTAGGTTGTAGACAACTATTTTTTTACAATAATACGACAATACCTAAGCCGCTGACAAACATTTTTTTATCAGAAAACCACGCCTTCCCCATACAAAACAGATACAAACACAACAACATGTCCCATGTACCCGGATGTTACCGCGCTTGTCATGACGTCATCTAACCCGTGATCAAGAAAGATTAGCCGTGGCGTCATTTAAGACCTGTTTACCCCCCAAGGCAGAAAGGATCGACCCTAGAACAAGACTTCCTATAAAATGTTGACAGAATACCCAGGCACCCGTGGGGCTAGCATGGTAGGTCGATCCCTGTGGGGGGGGGGGAGGATCAAGGAGCAACATAATCTATAGATAACAAACAGGGTTGGGTGTTGGCGTCACAGACTTACTGCTTTTATTGTTGACAGAAATAAAATAATGTATGCTCTATCTTTGGGTTATATTGTCTGGCAAATAATAGATTTACAGATAGGGGAAAAGTACATTAGGGTGACGTGTAGCAGTGTGTGTACATGTAGGTATATGTAGGGGTGTATGGGCATACAGGTAGATTTCTGAAGGTGTATGGGCATACAGGTAGATTTCTGAAGGTGTATGGGCATACAGGTAGATCTGTGAAGGTGCATTGGTGTACACGTAGTTTTTTAGAGGTGTATTGGTGTTTATGTACAATCATATACACAAGTTATATCGTACTTTGATCTTTGGTCACTGCCCATAGTGTAATGATGTACACGTGGTCAAATGTAAAGATGTAGTAGTGTACATTAATTTACTGTAAGGTTTTATAATAAGTAATTGTAAGTATGTAATATATACAGGTGTGTAGCTAAATTAGTGTAAGTAGATAGAGCTAGTGAAATGTTGGTGTAAATAAATATTGGTGTTAGGTTTGTGGGATTAAAGGTGAATTGGTGTAAGATGTACATGTGTAAATATAATTTACTGTATGGTAGATGGGTGTAAAGATATACTGGTGTAAATGGTACAGGTGTAAGGTTATATTGGTGTAAGGTGTACAGGTGTAAGGATATATTGGTGTAAGGTGTACAGGTGTAAGGATTTATTGGTGTAAGGTGTACAGGTGTAGGGATATATTGGTGTAAGGTGTACAGGTGTAGGGATATATTGGTGTAAGTGGTACAGGTGTAAGGTTATATTGGTGTAAGGTGTACAGGTGTAAATATATATATTGGTGTAAGGTGTACAGGTGAAAGGATATATTGGTGTAAGGAACGCAAATGTTCCTGTCTAACATTTTACGAAGCAACAAAATCTTTTGTCAACAGCCAGCATGGGTTTAAAACACACCTCTTGTGGGGACTCAAAGAGGTGTGTGTGGGATTGTGTGGGATTGTGTGTGATTGTGTGTGTGGGGGTGGGGGTTACGTAAACCTTAGAACGTTCTTACAATGGGCCTGTTTGAAAGCTAATCCCTACTGCGCTGCAACAGCTACTGAAAATTACAGGCTATGCTATAAAACGAGTGTATTTACTTCTTGAAAGGACGGACTAAAAAGCTTTTAAAAAAGTTTTATTATCAATTTACGCATAGAAATTCTGACTACAGTTTGTAGCGATAAGTTTCAGGCTCCAGAATGCCATAGATGAAGTGTAAATTTAGTCTAACATTAGAACATGCATACAATATCACAAGCCAATGTATAAACATATGTTTGTAACACAGCCTCAGTGGGGGATAGGGTGCGATGGTTATCCACTGTGGTGCGGTTACAGGCTTACCCTGAGACACAACAAAAAACAAAGCTGCTTCTTTCTTGATCAATTTCACTACTTCATACAGACTTCCTTAGAATTACAATATCATAAAGCCCTTCACTAGGTCTATATACATTACTCTAGTTATTCTATACCCCTGTCAGCATACTGTCCTGATCACCCTCAGACTGAGGTTTGAATCCAGTTGACACATTCACAACTACACACAGAGGTCACATGACATGGGAAACACGGGGAACATTGCTCACCGAAGGGCACAAAAATAACATCAACAGTTGCGGTCCCACAGGGGCCGCAAACGAAATAAGATCTAAACTATCCCCCATGACTGATGACACATGTAATGTGTTTCATGTTCTATGGCACAACCCACAATAAAGATAAATTTGGTCATTTGGCTACTACTTTGGTCATCTAATGACATGACACAACTCACGATAAAAATTCACACATCTGGTGATTTCTCTAGTCAAGAATTGTAATTTCAGGTAAACTCTACTTCAGCTACGATGAATATATCGATAATGTTAGTTTAGCAAATGAAAAACATGACGTCACTTACATGAATTCCTTGATGAGGATTTCTCGAAAGTTCCGTACGTTGGCGTACAAGTTAGTCAACTGTAAAACAATAAGAGACGTTTATCAAATAAGACAACTATATCAAAGACAGGTGAGATGGGTAGGGACACCATTCAGGATATGTTATATGTGTTGTTATGTTAGTCAGTCAACTATATCAAAGACAGGTTAGATGGGTGGGACAACATTCAGTAAATATTTTAAAAACATTTTCTTATAGTTTGTAAGAAAAAAACGTTATTTTACTTTTTAATATTCGCTACATTACTTTACTGACTGACTGAAATAATCCCTTATATAGACTTTTGTGTATTTCTAAAAAAAAACAAAAAAAAAAAAAAAAACAAAAAAAAAAAAAAAAAAAAAACAATAGTAGCATAGTAATACGAGGTCGTGACAGACGAAGTCGTGACGGTAAGACAGTTATGTGCTTGATTTAAATGATAAAAATACAATATTTAGATGTTAGTTGAATTTTTTTTACTATAGCTTAGGTTAAAATTGAAAACAATTCTATGGACGGTCTCAGTCAACAATTCTGTGGACAGTTTAAGTCAACAATTCTGTGGACAGCTTCAGTAAACAATTATGTGGACAGTTTAAGTAAAAAATTCTGTTGACAGTTTAAGTCAACAATTCTGTGGACAGTTTAAGACACAAGAACTTTACATTTTGCTTGTACTCCTTCAGACTTGACTGGAATATCTCTGATGATCTGTTCAGGAGCTGGGGGTCAAACGTCCGGCTAAACTTGAGACCAAACGGCACTGACACGACGCTGTTCTCTGCAGAGGTAGAATTTCAACGGAATAAAGTTCAGTTTCAACGGCATAAAGTTCAATTTCAACGGAATAAAGTTCAGTTTCAATGGAATTAAGTTCAATTTCAATCAAATAAAGTTCAATTTCAAAGGAATAAAGTTCAATCGAGGTAAATTTTCATTTAGGAACTTTTATAAAATAAGGTTTGAATTTGCAATTATTTTCTAAATTATTAATTAGTTGATGAATTGTTTTGTAATGAAATGTTTCCTTTGAATTCTTTTGGTGGGTCTGTGTGGTTGAAGGGTAGAGCCTTCACCTGCTAATACGAAGGTATCGAATCAATACCACATCTGTGAGTTCACCCAGCACTAATGCGTACCTGACTAACGTTTGGGATAGAAGAGGCGGCTGAACATAGTTCTGTGTGTCTAGATCACTGTAAAGGTGAACTCCTCGAACTTTTTTTTTTTTTACATTTCTTAAGATTCCAACCACAATTAATCACTAATTGTTTGCGCCGATAATGTTATATAGTTTAAAATCGCAGCTGTTTTAAAATTTCCATCATATTAACTTTCATGTGTCTAACAGTAGTGAACAATTTTCTTGCTAACTAGTAATTTAACCCATCCCTTTGTACTGTAAATTTTTAAACTCAGCTTAATCCGGCGTGAAATATAAACAATTTGTGGTGGTTTCTTGACCTTTTAATCTCCCCTTGTTGGTAGTCAGTGTTAGTACAGATGTAACCCCGAGGGGAGACAATAAAAAGTTGTCCCCCTTCAATTGTTGCCCCTCCCCCCCCTCCCCCACACTTGTTGATAACTATTTATTTCAAGACCCCAGGTAAAGCTAGAGTTAAATCACGTGACTTCTAGGATATCTAGTAGGATCTCAAGCAAACATTTAGAGCGGTAACTTTAACAGGGCGAATTATTATTGTGAACAATGTGGAGTGTGATACAATGTGGAGTGTGATACAATGTGGAGTGTGATACAATGTGGATGGTGATACAATGTGGAGTGTGATACAATGTGGAGTGTGATACAATGTGGAGTGTGATACAATGTGGAGTGTGATACAATGTGGAGTGTGATACAATGTGGAGTGTGATACAATGTGGAGTGTGATACAATGTGGAGTGTGATACATGCTAGGCTTGATCACGTGATATATTTACCTTTGTTCCATGGGCGGGAGAGGGACGGCGAGGGTGTGGTTGTGGGGTTGGCAGTTAGACGGGTTGTTGGTGAGACAGTTGTAGGTGGGAGGGTTGTTGTTGGGGTTGTTGTGGGCGGGGTTGTTGTGGGCGGGGTTGTTGTGGGCGGGGTTGTTGTGGGCGAGACTGTTGTGGGCTGGATGGGTGTAGATAGGGTTGCTGTGGGTAGGATGGTTGTGGGTAGGATGGTTGTGGGTGGGATGGTTGTGGGTAGGATGGTTGTGGGTGGGATGGTTGTGGGTAGGATGGTTGTGGGTGGGATGGTTGTGGGTAGGATGGTTGTGGGTAGGATGGTTGTGGGTGGGATGGTTGTGGGTAGGATGGTTGTGGGTAGGATGGTTGTCGCTGCTTGTGTCGCTGAAAATGTGGACGATGTTGATAAATCCGGTGTTGAACCGCTGGTTGATGCACCATGACTTGAAGACGAGGGTGTGACTGTTGAAAAACTTGGTATGGAGTTTGGAGAAGTTGATACGGTTGTTGATGATACAACTAATGATGTTGACACTACAGCTGATGTTGACACAGCTAAAGTTGCAAGTGATGATGTTGATAAAGTCAGTGTTGATACACCAGGAAGTGTTGATACAGTTGATGTTGTCACATCCGCTGATGTTGAAAGATGCGATGATGAAACAGATAATGTTGGCACAACAGATGAAGACGTCGATGACGTGGGTGATACATTAAGTGATGTTTGTACGTTGGATGCAGCGCTGAGTGATGTTGTCAAGGATGTTTGTGATACACCAGACAATGATGTGGTAGAGAATGTTGATAAATATGGAGATGTCGAAAGGGATGTTGACACTACGGATGATGTTGTCATGGTGGATGCTGATACTCCAATTGATGGTGTGCCATATGTTGATACAGATCCTAAAGTTGCCACGGATAATGTTGATACCCCAGAGGATGTTATGTAAGAGATTGTGGATACAACTATTGCCGCTGTAGTGGGTGATGATGTTGCAGTCGCTGAGGTTGAAAATACAGATGTGGATTGTAGCATTGATGTTGATAAAGGTATTGATGTCTGAAGAAAAGTTGAAATGAGAGGTGCTGTTGTTGATAAGCTTGAAGATGTAGTTGCTGATATAATATGTACAGATGTTGATACAAGTGTTGATAAGGCTGGTGTAGATGTTAATAAGGTAGTTACATGAGGTGTTGATAAAGATGATGTTGTTGAAACTGATGTTGAAACAGTAGCAGGGACAGCCGAGTTGTAAATAGTTGCTGTTGATGTCAGAGTTGTAGATGTTGTTACAAAAGTTGCTAATGTTGATGTGTGTGGATACGATGAGGTTATTGATGTTGATAACGTGCTGGTAACAACAGATGTTGGGGAGACTGTTGTAGATGTTGATAAAGACAAAGCTAAAGGTGTTGATAATGATACTGATGTTGCTAAGATAGATGATGGTGTTGATAAAAGAGATGAAATGTGAATTGATGTTGATATTAGAGGTACAGATGTTGATAAGGAACTGGAGACAACAGTTGCTGATACAACAGGTGTGGATGTTGATAAAGGTAATGATGTTGATTGAGATGTTGAAACGGTAGCTTTGGAAGAAAGAAAAACGCTACTTGTTAAAGCTGTAGGTAAAACAGATGTAGTTGTTGATACAGATGTTGATACGGGTGTTGATGAGGCAATGGATGTAGGAATGATATTTATGGATGTCGGCAGCGTGCTAGAAACTAGAGTCTGAGATAATTGAGGTGTTGATGTTGATACAAGTGTTGATAACACTGTTGATGTTAGTGTTGAACTAGCAGATAAAGTAGACATCAGTGCACTGGATAATTTCGTTGTTGATGTGACTGGAATGGATGTTGATACCTGTGTTGATACGGATGCTGGTACAGTCGCTGATATAAGAGTTGATGCAGGTGTTGATACCTGTGTTGACAATGGTGTTGGTAGTGTTGCTGATACAAGTGTAGATAAAGGTGTTGATACCAATGTTGATACCATTGGTGTAGATGTTGAACTGAGCATTGATGTAGATGTTGAACTAAGTATTGGTGTAGATGTTGAACTAAGTATTGGTGTAGATGTTGATGAAGGTGTTACTGAGGATGTTGATGCCTGAATCGATGTTGAAACAGTAGCTTTAGATGTAAAATGTGTGCCTGAAACGACTGGTGTTGATACTGTCAGTGTGGATATTGATGAAGATGATAAAGATGTTGATAAAGATGTTCCTAAAGGCGACAATGAAGATGTTGCTAAGGGTGTTGAAAAAGTTGTTGTTGAAGGTGTTGATGAAGATGCTGTTAAAGGTGTTGCTACGAATGTTGATAAAGTTGTTGAACCTAGATTGGAAGTTCCAATCGTAGCTTTGGACGAGAAAATTGAAGTCATGGATGTTGATGAAATTTGCGTGGTTGTTGATAAGACCGGCGTCGCTGTTAATACGACTGACGTGGAGATTGATAAAGTAGTTGATGATGGCATTGATGTTGTTATAGCTGGTGATGCTGTTGGAGTGCTTGAAATAGCTGATGTTGATAAAACGGATGTTGAAGTTGGTGTTGCAAGAAGTGTTGAGACAGGTGTTGATAATGAATTTGATAATGACGTTGATGTTAGAAAGGACGTTGAAAGTGTAGCTTTAGATGAAATTAACGAGTTTGAAACTGTACTTGTTGATAAGCCAAGTGGGGAAGTTGATAAATGTGTAGCGAATAGTGTTGATGTTTGAAGGGGTGTTAATAGTAAGCTTGAAGGTATAGCTGTGGCTATAACAGGTGCAGATGTTGATACAGATATTGATGTTGTTAGTGATGCTGACACTGTTGATAAAGTATGTGAACTGGAGACTACAAATGTTGATGGAGAGGTAATTAAAGATGTTGATAAAAGCACTGATGAAGGTGTTGATGTTGAAAGAGATGTTGAAATCGCAGATACTGATGTTGATAGCGAGCCGATGGCAACAGGTATTGATAATACAGGTGTGGCTGTTGCTGTTGGTGTTGATAAAGCTGGTGAGGTTGATAGAGATGTTGAAACTATAGCTCTAGATGAAAGAATGGAGCTAGAGGTTGTTGATGTCGGGAATACGGTTGCGGATGTTGAAAACAGACTTGATGTTTGAAGTGATAATGAAAGTACAGTTGCTGTAGTTGATAGCAAACTTAAAGATGTAGTTGCTGGTAAGAGAAGTGTTGATGTTGGTAAAGATGTTAATGTCGGATGTGATGATGAAACTACAGGTACTGATGTTGAAAGAGAGCTGGTGGTAATAGGTGTTGTTGATAAAATAAATGCAGATGTTGATGAAGGTGTGATTAGGGGCGTTGATGCTGATCTTGATACTGATGTTGATGATGATGTTGATACTAATGTTGATACTGATGTTGATGCTAGTATAGATGTTGAGGCAGTAACCCTTGATGACAGAACTGAGGTAAGTGTTGCAGATGTTGATGAGGCAGGTGAGATTGGTGAAAGGAGTGTTGATGCTACAGGTAACGGTGTTGATAAAAAGCTAGAGGACACGGTTGTTGATAAAACAGGTGTTGATGTTGTTACATGTGATGATGATGTTACAGGTGTTGTAACTACAGGCACTGATGTTGATATAGTGCTTGTAACAATAGATGTTGATAAGACTGAATTGGATGTTGATAATGTTGTAGCTAATGGTGTTGATAAGAATGTTGATGTCAGAAGAGATGTTGATATTGCAGGTGTAGATAGAGAACTGGTTGCAGCAGACGTTGATAATACAGGGGTAGATGCTAGTGTAGGTGTTGATAAGGGTGTTGATGTAATTGTTGAAACTGTACTCCTAGACGAAACAGTCGAGCTAGGTGTTGAAAATAATTGTGATGTTGTTGATGATAGTGTTGATATTACAGGTAATGTTGTACTTATAGAAACAGATGATGACGAAATACTGAGAGAAACAGGTGTTGATAAGACAGTCGTTGTTGATGTTGGATGTACTGATGTTGATGGTGAGCTTAAGCCTGCAAGTGTTGATAAGACCATTGATATTGTTGATGTTTGAATATATGTTGATGTTGGATGTATTGATGTTGATAGCGAACTAAAGCCTGCAACTGATGGTGTTGGTAGAGGTGTTGATGTTGGAAGTGATGTTGACATTGAATGTATTGACGTTGTTGGCGAGATGGAGCTTACAACTGTTGATAAAACTGGTGTAGATGTTGATACATGTGTTGATGTTATAGTGGATGTTGAAACTACAGATGCTGACGTTGATATAGAACTGGTAGAAGCAGGTGTTGATGTTTGATGTACTGATGTTGATAGCGAGCTAAAGCCTGCAACTGTTGATAAAGGTGTTGATGTTGGAAGAGATGTTGATGTTGCAGTTGTAGATGTTGATAGAGAGCTGATGGCTGCAGAAGTTGATAACACAGGGGTAGATGCTAGTGTAGGTGTTGATAAGGGTGTTGATATAATTGTTGAAACTGTACTCCTAGACGAAAGAGTCGAGCTAGGTGTTGAAAATACTTGTGATGTTGTTAATGATGGTGTTGATATTCCAGGTAATGTTGAACTTATAGGTACTGATGTTGACGAAATACTGAAAGAAACAGTTGTTGATAAGACAGTCGTTGTTGATGTTGGAAGTGATGTTGACATTGAATGTATTGACGTTGTTGGCGAGATGGAGCTTACAACTGTTGATAAAACTGGTGTAGATGTTGATAAATGTGTTGATGCTACTGTGGATGTTGAAACTACAGATGCTGACGTTGATATAGAACTGGTAGAAACAGGTGTTGATGTTGAATGTACTGATGTTGATAGCGTGCTGGAGCCTGCAAGTGTTGATAAGAAAACTGATGGTGTTGATAAAGGTGTTGATGTTAGAAGAGATGTTAATGTTGGATGAACTGATGTTGATAAAACAACTGATGGTGTTGTTGTTGGAAGAGATGTTGATGTTGCATGTACTGATGTTGATAGCGAGCTGGAGCCTGCAACTGTTGATAAGAAAACTGATGGTGTTGATAAAGGTGTTGATGTTGGAAGAGATGTTGATGTTAGATGTACTGATGTTGATAGCGAGCTGGTGGCAACAAATGTTGCTAACGATGGTGTGGCTGTTAAAGAGGACATAGTTACAGGTGTTGATACAACTGTTGATGTCAAGAGAGATGTTGAAACTGTCACTTGAGATGCAACTGACGACGAAACAGCTGGTATCGATGTAGTAGGTGTTGGTATCGATGTAGTAGGTGTTGGTATCGATGTTGAAATAGTTGACATCGATGTAGAAATAGTTGGTATTGATGTAGAAATAGTCGGTATCGATGTAGAAATAGTCGGCATCGATGTAGAAATAGATGGTATCGATGTAGAAATCTTTGATGTCGATGCCGAAACTGTTGGTATCGACGAAGAAATAGTCGGTATCGAAGATGTAGATTGAGCGGATGTCTCCTGGTACAGTGTTGTCAAAAGGCTGGTAATCCAGACGAAGTGAAAACAGATTGAGATTAAACTTGCCATTGTTACAGATTGTAACCTCTAGTAAGTGTTGATGGAATCCAAATTATGTTACAAGTTCATGGTTCAGCTACAAATTGTAGGTCGGTGTAAAGTTTTGTTGAGAAACTTTGTTAAGAAACTTTGTTAAGGAACTTTGTTCAATAACTCACTTGTATGTCGTTGCTTTATGCTGATCAACTTAGTACTCTTGGTTTATCCGGGGCAATTAATAAAACTGAAACAATCAGAAATATTTGTTTTTTAACAGCGATAAGTCCACTCATACGCAGATGAATATGATACACTATTATATGCGGTAAATAATTCTAACATGTAGTTCACAAATATTATTACAAAATATGTTACAATTATATTTAGCACTTAAATGACTTGACTAGAAAATTTACGAAAACCTGTTTTATAAATGTGTTATATTAGACGTATGTATTAGCAACGTACTGTAGTGAAATATAATGACATCTGTTGTAGCCGCTTTTACTAGTCACATAAACAACTAATTTTGTTAACACATATGCTTGCCACTTATAATAAGAATATAGAGTCCGCCTTGCCACGTATAATTACCACATTCGAATAACCACATAAACCACATAAACCACAACCAGTAGAACAAAACTATGACAACTCTGTTATAATAAAGACACAACATTCTTACAGGTGAAATAACACGTCAATTTTAGAAATAAAAACACAGCAACGTAACAATCATGTTATTATGTATGTTGTCTGTATCCTTAATTCAACAACGACTAACTCATCATAGGAAAGCCTGTTAGAACTAAACCAATACAGTCCAAATAGATTTAGATGCTATTGTAAACTTCGTTTAGTGCAAATAATATCTGGACTGGGAAGTAAATAAACGTTTTCACAACTGAGGTCTCTAAAGCCAAAATTTACCGCCCATATTAATGACTAAATCAATCACTTTATGATAGAAACAATCACATTCATATAAAATATATTATTTTATGATAGAAACCATCACATTTATATAAAATATATTATTTTATGATAAAGAAAATCACATTTGTTTAAGAAATATTGCCTTATGATTAAAGAATCACATTTATTTAAGAACTTATAATTTTATGATAAAGAAAATCACATTTTTTAAAGAAATATTGCCTTATGATTAAAGAATCACATTTATTTAAGAACTATAACTTTATGATGAAAACAAATGTATATAAGAAATATCACGTTATGATAAAACAAATGTATATAAGAAATATCACTTTATGATAAAAAAATCCTATTAACCAGCGATCACCTTATTCCACAGAATCAATACACCAAACCATTGTCTATTGGCCCGCCCCAAGGGCACCTAACTCCCACCTCTGTGATATTAATGCTAAGCTGATTAGGATTAAACTTAATGCCACATAATCTTGCGTGGATTGCCGAATTAATTTTATTAAAAAAAAAATTGCCGATAAAATTGTCATTACTGAATTTATTTATACAGAGTCACAATTAATAGATTTTACCACCCTGAGCCGATGTAAGTAGTATAAAAACTATAGAAGACAGGATAATAGGGACAATAAACAGTGTTTAGTTTTAAGATGAACATGGAGAAAGTTGGCCTACGTAATAATTTAGACGGTTATTTTCATTGGGCACTTCTGCCTTGTTGGCCATTGGGCACTTCTGCCTTGTTGGCCATTGGGCACTTCTGCCTTTTTGGCCATTGGGCATTTCTGCATGGACCAACGCTTTGCGTAGGAAAAATAACTTATACTGCCAAATAGGGCTGATATTCAAAATATGTTTTTAACTGACAGCTATCAATATTTAGACAGACAGCTTTTGTGGTTAATTTAATGTATCAGATAAATGATTACTTGAGCAATTAATTATTAAAATATAGGTGATCTACTTACAAAGCAAACCAGGCACTGTATCAATAGGTATGGAATCCAGGTAGTGCCGGTATTAATCAGAACACCTTGTTATCTGTCTAGTGCTGACGTTAGACGTGTCTGTGACAGACGACTCTTGACTCAGGTAACCTGCGGCAGTTGACGCTGCAGTATCCTGCGGCAGGCTAGGCCACAGTATCCTGCGAATTCTAGATCAGAGTTTCCTACGACAAGCTAGACCGCAGTTTCCTGCGGCAGGCTAGGCCACAGTATCCTGTAATCAGGCTAGGCCACAGTTTCCTGCGACAGGATGGACCACTGTTTCCTACGACAGGCTAGACCACAGTTTCCTGCGACAGACTAGACCACAGTTTCCTACGACAGGCTAGACCACAGTTTCCTACGACAGGCTAGACCACAGTTTCCTACGACAGGCTAGACCACAGTTTCCTACGACAGGCTAGACCACAGTTTCCTATGACAGGCTAGACCACAGTTTCCTGCGACAGGCTAGACCAAAATGTTACGTCTTGTTACTGTGAAGTCCCCAGTAAATGAACGAGCTGCTCCCCTTGTCAAACCACCTAACCCCCAAGTTAGGGCGAGGCCGACTCAAAATTAATTTCGATAATCCCACCCCAGTAAAAGCGCTAACCGTCAGTCTTAAAATATTTTTCGCTTGGTTGACTTCGTGCCTACAGCCTTGAAATCTCCAACGAGGCGTACGTGAAATAAAAATGGTGATGTTGTTGGCAGACACAAAAGTGTGGTTAGGTGAAGACACGCCCTTTTGTAAGGAGAAAGTGGTGCGGGTGGGGAGGGTATCCTGGGTGTTGTCGTCTGCTAATGTCGTGTCAACATTTGAACAAAAAAAAAAGGGGAGGGGGAGAATGAAAGGTAACAAAAGTTATAAATACGTCCTGGTATTCTTTTCTTGGAATTTCTAGGAAGGGAGATAGGACGTGAGGGAAGATACTTTACTTACATGGTTGTTGACTGGCTGTAAACTTTACTTACATGGTTGTTGACTGGCTGTAAACTTTACTTACATGGTTGTTGACTGTAAACTTTACTTACATGGTTGTTGACTGGCTGTAAACTTTACTTAGATGGTTGTTGACTGGCTTTAAACTTAACTTGGATTGTGGGTATGTGTTTGGTGGCTTTAAACTTAACTTGGCTTAGATGTGTGTTGACTGGCTTTTAAAATAAAAATCCCGAATCAAAATTTTAAAAAAAAGTTGATAAACCTAACATTATGCATCAAAAGCTTTAAAAAAGTGAAAAATCTAACATTATGTTTCAAAAGCTTTAAAAAAAGTGAAAAATCTAACATTATGTATCAAAAGCTTTAAAAAAGTGAAAAATCTAACATTATGTATCAAAAGCTTTAAAAAAGTTGAAAAACTTAAAATTATGTAACCTGTTTGAACGAAAAGATTGCTGGCTAGACAAAAGAATTGATTTATCGATGCGTCACAGTGTCCCCCTCCCCCCCCCCCCCAACCCAATCAGCGATACTAATCAGTAAATCGTGTCAGACGAGAGACAATGCAGGTCTTTCTTGTGACTCGTGACTCAACAGCTTAAGGTGTGTTTATGTTAATAGGACAAAGCCCCCCTCCCTTACACATGCACCTTTCACAGCATGCTATGTGTGGTTTAAAAAAAAAAAAAAAAGTAAAGTTTCCCTTTCAAACCTGACGGTCTATGGGGCAAGTGAAGTAGAGTTCACTTGTTTCTGTGACCTCGGCATATGAAGAGATAGTGTGGTCAGCACTATGCCCAGCCGCCTTTACTTTCCCTAACGTGAGTTAGGTACCCATCAGAGTTGGGTGGACTCAGGGACGGTCTACTGGCTTGAACCCGGATTCGAACTCGAGACTTACGGGTTAGCAGCCCAGCTCTCTACCGCTAGACCACTCCGTCCCACCTATGTGTGGTTTAGTTTCGGTAAAAATATACAAGCTCTATAGAAATCCAAATATACTTAAAAAAATTCTTATATGTACGTCCACCTTTTCATAAATGGCAAAACAAATTCTGTCAGACACAGCCACATAACGTATTGTCAAAACAATTAACATACTGAACATAAGACAATACTACACAATACAACATAACCTACAACACTACCCCACACTACCACACAACATACCACACTACTACACAATCCAACATACAACTCTACCAAGCAATCCAACAAACATAAAACTAAACAGACACCACTAACCCCCCCCCCCCTACCTCCCCAGAAGACGTACACCAACAAACCATGTACACAACCACCTTGACTTAGACACAAAGTGGTTCCGCTTAGACGAAACCCTAATCCCTACACTAAACCTTTCACAGATTTAAATTATTTCTTTTTCAACCCCACCCTTAGTACTTCATCAAAAGTAAGCCCCCCCCCCCCTTCCTCCGAAATCTAAAACATAACTCGAGTAGTTCCCTATCTCTTCTCCCTTTCTTCAGGTATTAAACGAACTTTAGAACGCGACCACCGCCTTATCCCCCCCCCCCCCACAGGTATTAAACGAACTTTAGAACGCCACCGCCGCCGTATCCCCCCCCCCCCACCCCAGCAGCCCGTGACGGTCGATGAAAGAAGTCACGGCGACTAAAAACCTTCGATTGAGATCTGGATGCGGTGCACACATAGAGAAAACCCATTCATCTCAGCTAGACCAGGTTCACTCAGGCGAGACCTGGTACACTGTGGTCGCTACATCACGGCTCTCTTGGTATGACGTCACACTGTCATGTAACATTTTGCACTTTCACTATTTCACGAATGTAACATTTTTGTTATTATTATAATTTGTGTAATATAATATTTGTTATTTATTTATTTACGTAATGTAACGTTAGTTCATATTATTACAATTTGTGTAATTAGAATGAACCCTGTTTAGGCAGATGAAGTAGAGTTCGTGTATTTTTTTTACTTGGGCATATGAAGGTAAGGTGCGGTCAGTACTTTGCCCATCCGCCTTTACGCTCCCTACCATTGGGAAGTTCTACCGACTTGGACACAGATTCGAACTCTAGACATTCGCGTTTGCAGCCTAGCGCTCTACCCCTTAGGCCACGCCATCCAATAATGTGTGACCAATTATAAATGCAGTGTATTCGGTGTTATAGGGAAGGTTGTTTT